CTGTCCAACCATCGGTTTGAGGCATGATCCATTAAACCGTACCGTACCAGCGGTTCAACCACGAAATACCAGTACCAGAGGCTAAACCGATAGGCGGTGTTTAACGGTACTAACGGTTGAACTACGGTGAAACCACGATTTTGCCATAAAATACCCTACCACTTACTTTTCTGGTACGGTCTCCGGTACGGTTTCATGGACCATGGTTTGAGGGAGAAGGTAAGTCAACCCCTCAATTGCCTTAAACAAGAGGCCTACTCTAGTAGCCTATAATGTATCCATTGGTTTTGCAATTGAGAGTGTGGTCTTCAACCATAGTTGTACTTCCTAGCTGTTCACGATTTCCTTGCCCATAACGACCCATTCGAGTCCTTAATAGTTATGGTCCACAAAATACGTCCATCTTCAATTAATATGTAATGAATTAGCTCCCTACTTTCCTCCATGCTAGTCACGACTCACGTGTAGTTGTAAGCAACTCATTTATCTATCAAGAATGCTCCTAATCGATCCTTATATCTCCATATTTGAACCTTTATTTTTGGACCACGAGAACTATGTATGTTGGCAACAAGGTTGTCAACCCGCGGGTCGACCCCCTTTGACCTGGCCCGGAGAGAAAAACCGGTTGCACGCACCCGCCGGGTCGACCGCTACAAGGTACCGCCGTACCGGGTTGGAGGTCAAATTGTGTCATTTTTTTCTTTGGTTTGCGAAATGCGCATATTTTCCGATTTTTCTTTTCGCCTAACTCAATCTTTGGAATTCTAAGTTGAACATTTGATATTGGTGTTATATAAGTGTGTGTGAATTTTCACTATATGTTGGATCTAAGTACGACATGTTATTTTGGTGTAATATTATATGTTATAACTCATATGTTATATGAGATTTGATGTAATTTATTAGGATAAGTACAATATAATGACTCTTTCTATATTTACGGGCTAAACCGGGCTAAAACGGGTGACCCATTAACTCTTGACCCATTAGCTCGACCGGGTCCGGATCAGCCCGCGGGTTGACAACCTTGGTTGGCAATCAGTTTCACATCAACAAATCCGTAAGTCTTGCTTATAGCCCCATCTTGACCCATCTTGAATGCTCCTCAGATCTCTTTGAACCTCTTAATTTATCTCTTGGCCCATGGTCTATGTGAAGATATTATTTGACCTCGAATAAGCTCATGTGGGGAAATATGGAAAAGGTAGTAAGGTGATGGTTGGACCTTAAAAAGCTATCCAAAAATTCCACCAAAACACATCCTCAAATGACACTCCGGTCCAAAAGAGAAGCCCTTTGACGACTTAACTTAAACACTATGACCGGTTTCCTCTCACATGAGACACTTTATTCAAAACATTTTCAAAACAAGGAGCACCTTTTGAAAATCTTTTTGAAGTCCAAAATTTTGGGAGAAAGTCCCACACACATGTCCTAACCATGATATTAAATAATATTAACACATCCAAGAGGAAATAGAAGTAAAGCCATTTGTGATCAATAATCTCTATAGTGCCACACTACTCCCCATACAATGCACACCATCATAACATCAAAATTTTCAAAGAACAATGAGTAGAAATAATGCATGGGACAATGCGTTTATAACTCCTAAAAATTTTAAATGTTTAGCATACAACCTTGATTCCAAAACACTCTCAATGTAGGCCAACTTTCAACCATTCAACCACAAGTACTTGGAGCCTTCAAATGGTAGAAATTTGGCAATAACAAGGCTCCAAAGGATTCAAAGTAAAGGCCATTTATCACATTTGAATTCACTTGCCATTGACATAGATATTCAACACCCCCATACTTAAGTATGACATTGTCCCTAATAGAGCAATAATAAGGGTGGAACAAAGTTATCGAATCATTGCGAGTAAAAGTTGGACTTGATTTGGACCAGTTTCGAGGGAGAGATTCACACGTAACAAACAGAAAAACATGCTCACCAAAGGCGAGGTTATTACACAAACAAAATGTTCAAACATCATAAGAGAAGAAAAATGAACTAAGTAGTTCACAATAACACACTAAAACGAGAAAGAAAAAGTCTGGAGTCAAAGGGGAGAGAAGTAGAGTGAAAGTAGTATGCTACCCACATGTCACTCATGACGGATCATCGTCTTGTGGTGGCTACTCCTGATGAGGAGGGGAATGATGCCAGTAGGGGTCCTGGAATTGGATACGCTAAGAGCGTAAGAGCTCCTCCTCCACGGGAGTGAATGATGTCGGGCGTCCCGCTTTCGGTCGAGCTGAGATGAGAATCCACCAACCTCGCCGCTATTGCAGTGACTCAGGCCTCAAGGTTGCTCATGGAAGAAGGACTAGCTCCTGATGAGGAAGTAGAGGTACTGGTATGGCCACGTCGGTGCAATGGTGGAGCTCTCTAGAATGGCTCTCTAATCTCCTCCACCACTAGCCGGTAGAGGCCGTTGATGTACTCGATGCCTCACAGTACGCACCAAACCCATGTGGTTGAGTGTCTCTACCGGGTATATCTTCATCTGACTAACCATCATGCATATGGTGATGTCAACCTCGTAGAATCTCATCAATCGAATGATGATGGGGCCTATGTGCATCAGTTAGCTTGGAATATGGAGGGCCACCATCCCTCTCAAGGTCACCTGCCCTGGAGCTTACACACTCGGGACTATGAAATGTTTCAGCAACATGTGGAGGATCCTCCACTAAGGTCATAATAGAGTCGCCCTCGTGTGACCCAAATGAAATCTATGATCTTTGTGCTTCTCTGGGAAGATCGCCTCATACACCCACTGGGGGTCCACATCTTGAATGTAATCGAGCTCTATCATGGTCATGATTGTCGTGTTGAGCCCTAAAGTCTGGGCCAGGGGGTCATACCCAATCGTGTGGACGACTCCACCTAGACTAATATGGGCATACAGTTGAGCATGTCGTCCTTGAGGCTGCTCGTGCTTGAAAGTGGAGCAGAACTTCAAGCACAACTCCTAGTAAATTGGCTCATCAATGCTAAGCAGCTGACACCACTGCACATGAGCGATGATTGTTGAGATCGCAATCTGCATTGAAAGTGCCCAAACATGCTAAATCGAGGCGCTAGTGGGGTCCAATGTTTTCGTTCCTCCATGACTCGTACCGATCCTTATAAGTGGGGCACCACGACTGAATATAAGGATGCATAGGGTCAACTATCTTGCAAAATACCAAAACATAAAGCACCATACGTGGAAATATCATAAGATAACGCACTTTGGGGAGAAAATGTCGTTCCCCCACACTTAATTTTGAACATAGGTCACAAGCTAGCATAAACTTTTCACAAGATCGGATTACAATCAAATAAGCTCAATCATCCCAAAAACACATCGAGGCATGAAACTTAGTGTTTCATAGATCACCTAGGTTGCATATGCAAGGCTAGATTATGCTTTCGAAGGCTACCATTCAACATTTACAACATGACATCCAAACTAGGCTCAACCACTAAGCTGAGAGTTGTTTGTTAATCAAACACTGGGTAGGCTCAACCACTGGTAGTTCGATGTGGAAACCGGGACTCCAATTCAGTTCATTCCGAACAAACTACATTTGCAGATTCCGAGCTAACTGAATTCTGACTTGCCTCCTTCGACTCGATTTGTTCGGTTTTGAATATAGTTCTTTTTGATTGGTAAAACCGAACATAATATCCAGCCTAAAATATGGATTGCAAGCCACATCATTTTTTATCATTAATTGTTTTTTATTTTTTTATTTTTTTTATTGTTTTATTTAATTGTTTATGTTTTTATAAATCAATTAAAAAAACAATTGCAATTAGTGCATCCACAACAACCTTTCATATTGAATTGCAAAGTGATGTGGCAATGCAATGATTGCATTTGTATTTTCATGGATGAAAGTCTTAATTGCATTTATGCAAGCTATCATAAAATGCAATTCCATTTGCAATTTCTCTCTCATTTATTTGTTTTTTCTTCTTTTTTTTATCAATAAAATAATAAACATATACACCTTTTGTTTTATCAACAAAATATTTTTGGCTCACATATGCAATTGCAAGTTAATTGCGTTGATGTAGGTGAATGAAATTAAAGTGGCATGGACTGCAATTTTTATTTTTTTTAGTTGGCAATAAAGAGCACAATGCAATTGCATTAATGTGGATGCTCTTATAAGTAGATTGCATTGATGTGGGTAAAATGAAAATAATATAAATTGGATTGCAAAAAAAAATTATGATATCAATAAAGAACACAAATATAATTGCATGTCCAATTGCATTGATGTGGATACTAGGAAGACATGATTTTTTTGATGAGTTTGAGAGCTGAGACAAGCCAATGGAGGGCCTCGCCAATAACAGAAGGCTATTCTGTAATTTACTAATTTCTTCTCTATCTCTTTTATCTCTTCTATGTAGGGCTGCAAATAAGTCAAGCTGAGTTTTGCCTCAGTTTGAGCTCGATTGGTGAATAAACGAGTCTAGTTTGAGTCAACCTCGTTTATTAACAAGCCGAGTTGAGCTCTAATTAGGCTTGTTTTAATGTAATGATGAAACAAAGAAAATGATAGTAAAATGGTCAACATAAAATAATCCAATCTTATAATCTGTTAGTATCATATTATTTAATTAATAAATTGCAAATACTATAAATCATGTTATTTTATATAATCGAATCAATCTACAATACATAATTTCTTTTTAAAATTAAGGGTTAATACCTTAGTTTGGCCCGAAGTTTGACTTAAGTGTCAGTTTTGGCCCGACTTTTTTGATAAGACGTTTAGGGCCCACTTTTCAAATTAATGGACAGATTTGGCCCGGAGTTTGAAATGAATGTTAAAATTGACGCTTAACCATTTTTTTCCGTCTGTGACTTAACATCTTCGGCTGATGTGGCGTCCACATCATTAATTAATTAAAACAAAAAAAATTGAAAAAAGTACATGGGAAAGAAAAACCTTCCCTTCCTTATCCCCAATGCCTCAGCTTCCCTGCCGCCATGGATATCATCGTCTCATTTTCCTTGCCGCGCCGCACCAACTTCGTTTGCGGCTTCGTCAAGTCTTCACCGATGAACTCCGTCAACCATCAGGCAAGTACCGTTGATGGTGATGTCCCCGAGGTTGACTCCCGGAGGACTGCTTTCACTCAGATCTGGAGCTCGAACCCAAGGCCGTCTCCGTTTGTCCCCATCCAATTGATTTTTCCATCTCTTCCACGATTCCGGTGAAGAGCAATTGCATCGTGAAGAAGGATAGTAGTCGCTGGTTGTTGAATTTGGCGGCGGAGAAGTGGCAGATTGAGTTAAATTTGCTGAAACCCCCATTTCCTTCCTCTTCCCCACCTCATCGAGCTCCTTCCGTCGTTGGCATTCGCGACTGTGGTCGCCGTCCCTCAAACCACAACGGCGACGGACGATTGTTCAATCGACCATTCTTGGCATCTTCTTTCTCGGACTCAACATCGCCAAGGCAGTTATTCGGGATGTCGAGATGAGAGGCGTCTTAAATCGGCTCTCAAATTTCGCTCTCGATAGCAAGGCGGAGGAAGAATAAGATGCGTCGGGGTTTGATTATTGAGTAGAGAAAGGGAGGAAGCCGGTGGTGGAGCGGGATTGTGAGGCGGACGGTGGCGGAGCAGGCGATGTGGTTTGGAGCTTAGTGGGGAATCAGAAGAGGGATTATTCAACCTCAATCCTCCTCTGCTTGTATTGTTCTTTTAGTTTTTGTTATTTTTTATTTTCAATTTCTTGTTTTTACTTTTTTATGTGCTTTTCAATTTTTTTACTTAAATATAAATGATGCAGCAGCCACGTCACTGCCACCTCAGCATTAAATGCTGAGTCGTTGACAGAATAAATGTTTGACCGTTAGTTTTAACAGTCAACTCAAATTTGGGGTTAAATTTGTCCATTAATTTGAAAAGTGGGCTATAAACATCTTATTGAAAAATTCGGGCCAAAACTGACATTTAAGCTAAACTTCGAGCCAAACTAGGGTATTAACCCTAAAATTAAAAATAAGACATATTTGCTTACATACTCAATGTGTTAAACTTCATCTAGGGTGAGATATAATTTAATCATCATATGAATTATCAAAGTTCAACTCATAAGATATAGATTGATTCGCTCATAGGTTGGTAATCGAGTTGGTACTCTAACCACTAATGCTAAGACATCTCATGAGTACTAACTGAGCCAGCTCACGAGTTAAACTCAACAAAGCAACGAGTCAAACTAGCTCGCAAGCTTAACAAATCTTGGCTCAAACTTGGCTCGTTAGTAAACGAGTCCGTTTCACGTGACTTTTTTTCCAAACCGAACATCAAGCTGCGCGCGTGAATTCGCAAGGTTAACAAAGTTTAGCTCAAATTTGACTCGTTAGTAAACGAGTCCGTTTTGACTTTTGAGCGAATTTTTCCCGAACCGAACATTAAGCCGCTCGTGATAGTTTGGCTCATTTGCAACCCAGGTACTTTGTTTTTCCACTTTCCGTTGGGGTTGTCTTACGTTTGGTCCTCCGTTCGATCCAATCCATCAGACGAACCCATGGTTGTCCCGTGCGGTTTCTACTGTTACCCACCCTGCATTTCCTACCGTTTTCAGCTCTAGCGTCGGAATTCTCAATCTCTGTTCGTCGTCGTCTTTGTCCATGGTCATGGCCGCCACTGCTCGGACCGTAGAGGAGATCTTCAAAGATTACACTGCTCGAAGAGCCGGCCTTGTTCGTGCCTTAACTGATGGTACCCTTCTCCAACATACCTTTCTCAACTTCTCCTCGTGTTTCTCAGGTCTGTTACCTATGTTGAATGATTGTTCATCATGCCTTGTTATTCTGATTTTTCTTCTCAGATTCGGATGAATTCTACGCACAGTGCGATCCAGGTAAAGTCCAGATCGGGAATTTTCTCCTTTTCTTTCTCCCTGTTTCTTTGTTTTCATCTAAGTTTGGTTCTCGGGAAAACTGAGTGGAACAGTTGTCAAGCTGAAAGCTCACTGTACACGTTTCGATCTGCGGTGTTTGAGTTAAAAAATTAACCTAAATTGACTTGCTGAAAATCACCGTTTAGTTTTTGTCTTTCTTCTGTATCTTACATTACAATGTATGGGCAGCGTATGATTCAACAGTGTATGATTAGTAGGGGTGATGTGAGTGTATGTATGCAGAAAAGGAGAACCTGTGTCTGTATGGACATCCAAACGAGAGGTGGGAGGTAACACTACCGGCGGATGAAGTGCCACCGGAGCTACCTGAACCTGTTCTTGGTATCAATTTTGCTAGAGATGGCATGACCCGCAAGGACTGGCTTTCCCTCATTGCTGTTCACGGTGATTCTTGGTTGCTCTCTGTGGCTTTCTACCTCGGAGCTCGTCTTAATAGGAACGACAGGTGCCCCTTTTTTCTTGACTGAGCCTGTTGGTAGTGATTGCTTTTGCACTTCCTGGCAACTGGATTTTCTGGGATTGTTTCCTTCCTGCGACTCAATCCAAGCACTATTCATTTTAGGTATACGACTAATTTGCAAATGCGACTATCCAAAGTCAAACCCCATTGTTTGTAAGGAGTTTACTGGGCTGTATCGTCATTTTCATAACAATTTGCTGGACATTTACCTAGTTTATATTTAACTGGTGATGATTTAAGTTGCTCTACCGAATTGAGTGATTCTATATCAGACTTGTGTTTGTTTATTTTGAGCTGAAGTGGCTGAGCATCCGGATGATTTTCTTTCCTAAAACTCGTCAGGTCTATGCTTCATGACAGTACCTCCCTTCCATTTTTACCACCTTCACTGTCAATTCTACTCTAAGCGATGTTAACTTTCAGCCCGTCCTTGTTTGCTTTGATATGCTGTTGGAGTTTTTAGTAACTTGGCACTATGGATCAATTAGCCTCCCTAACTCAGTTTGGTTGCTTATTGCTTTGATTGCTTGTTTGATGCCTATTCGGATGTATAATGGAGCATGGTTTACACAGAACTGAAGTTAATTGTGATTTTACAGGAAACGACTTTTCAGCATGATCAATGATCTCCCTACTGTCTTTGAAGTTGTAACAGACAGGAAGCCCAGAGAAAAGCCCAGTATCGATAGTGGAAGCAAATCTCGAGGCAGCACTAAGGTTTGATTTTGTGCTGCAATGCTAGCCTCATTTTCTTTTAAACTAAGGTGGCTATCAGAACATTTCTTGACTGTGGCTCTTGCAAGCTATAATCTTGTATGTCACTATGATGCTGGTCTAGTGAAGTCCCTACTCTCAATTCCTGAAAGTTGATTGGCTGCAAGTCTCATTTACCATTCTTAAATTTTGTGTAGAGATCTAGCGACGGGCAAGTGAGAAGCAACCCCAAACATGAAAACTACCATGTTGATGAAGATGAACACATGGATACACTTTGCGGAAGCTGTGGTGGAAACTACAACGCTGATGAATTCTGGATCGGCTGTGACATCTGCGAGAGATGGTTCCATGGCAAGTGCGTGAAAATAACCCCTGCCAAAGCTGAGACCATTAAGCAATACAAGTGCCCTTCATGCTGCATTAAGAGGAACAGGCCTTAACCCCCTTTAATATATGGCCCTTCTTACTGGCACACCAGACTGTAGTCAATTTAGTCCGAGTATCATTTACACTAGCTGTAATGCATTGTTATAAAAATGCCTTTTCATTTATTTTCATCTGTAATCCTCATTTTCTCAAATGTCAGCTTATTGTAATCTAATCTCCTGATGTATGAAGTGCTACAATGACATTTGGTTTTTCGGCCTCACTCTTATCTGAAACATTCTTCTCTATTCTCCATCTGGTGCAAAACTTTGCCTTGTTTCTGGTCTCTACTGGATGGAACTAATCTTCCTAGATATGGATGCAGACGAAATACCGCTGAATGCAAAGCAAATCAGCCCTCATTTCTGGAAGAAGACAAAGATGAGAGGTGGGGACAGTTGATCATGAGCTGTACAATACGAATGGCGGGATGGTAAGTAGTTTCTTCAGAGTCCTAGAAATACTTGGATCAAGGCATTTATGTTCAGTTGGACTCTGCAACGACCTTGATTGATTTTGTCCGGCAGCTAGAGACATTGGCTAGGATCTGCTCTCCATAAGAAACCATATTTCCTTTTAAGTTCTTCACGTCAGCTATCTCCCTTCTCTTGTCACTTTACCTAGTTTCCTGATTGTTTCAGTTTTCTCTTCCTCTTGTGGCCTGCCTTCTTTCCTTTATAACTTTCTCATCACCAGAGGGGCTTCTGTTCTTCTCTGCAGTGCTTGAGCTGGGGCTGTCTACTACATTTCACTTGAGCACTGCCGCTTGAGTTGGGATCTTCTTCTACCTGATTGTGTAGACAATGGGTTCCAGTCGCTCGGATGGCGCTGGGAAAGAGCGACTGCGGTGGACACAAGAGCTACACGACCGGTTTGAAGAAGCTGTTAACCAGCTCGGTGGCCCTGACAGTATACAAGCTCTCTCCTTCCAATCCAACTTGCATTGCGCGTTTCTGTCTACAGATATAGATATGTTGTTTATATATTTGCGCAATTGCTGTGCAGGGGCTACTCCGAAAGGGATCCTGAAGGCTATGAGCATTCCTGGGCTAACCATCTACCATGTCAAGAGCCACTTGCAGGTAAGCAGCCTCAATCTCATAGACGACCAATGTTTTTAAAGTTTTTCAGTCATCTGATAAGGGTCGATGGTTCAAATTCTAGAGTTGGGTATTAAATTGTAAATGCCATATAGGACGATGTAAACTAAAAGTTGCACAATGTAAACATGCGTTATATATGATTGAATAAGGTTGGGAAACGGTTCGTTATGGTCCACCTGGTAATATATACGGTTTACGATGTTGACTAAAGGATTGGAACACATACTAGGATACGATTAATACTATATAGTGCAGTCTGGATTACTCATATGCAGACTTATCCTATATGGTTCGGATCAGGAAGACCATGTTGCGTAAAAAATGAACAGACCTAAATTCCTACATCATGCATAGTTTTTACTCTCAATCCAAGTAAATAAGAAACAAAGAAAGTCAAAGCAATCCTACTTCCGATAACGTCGTAATATTAACAGACGCGATCATCTATGCTTTCTGGCAGAGTGTGGTTTGTGAATGAAGCAGAGAACGAGATTCGCAAAACTAAGTTTGAGACTTGGGTCTCATTGGAGAGTGAGGAGAGTAGTCGAGTGAGATGCTAACACGAATTGGGAAGTGGGTTCCATTTCACAGTATGGTTTGATTAATTGTGGTTTGGACAAGACCAGACCTAGAGATCAAAACATTCTATAATTCTGAGCATAAACCAAACCAATCCCTTTTTAACGGTCAAATCTAGACCTAACAGTCTGGTCTGTTTGGTCTAGCGTTTTTGAAACAATACAGTCTATTTTTCCAGCACTAGACAAAATAAAAGTTGCATTTAACTTCCTGATCAGTTTGCAGGTGATTAGAAGTTTTAGGTAGTAAAATGTAAGATATTACTTTTCTAAATATTTTTTTCCGATAATAGATTATAAATATGATAGGTTTAATGTAAGATGCCAACTTTTATTTGAGATGGCAATTGGGTCTAAAAGTTTGGGTATTAGTGTTACAAAACCCAACTTATTATAGGTCAATTCAAGTTTGGGTAATTATGCTTTTCGGGGCATACTAATATCCAACTTTTTAGTTTGGGTCTAAATTGAACCCATAATATTGGAAGTCTAAAAGAAAATGGGTACCCAATTATAATATAATTTTTGTCTGATTTTTTGTTATGAAAATAATTGTACGATTGAAATACCTACATTAAATGTGTACAATTGGGTTGAAAGTAGTTAATGAATGGTTGATATTGTTTTTTGTGTATATTATTATCTAGACCAAATTAGACCCATTTGGATATAAACCAAATGAATTGACCTAAATAGTACCCAATTCAAACCCAACTCATACCCAAAATTATTAAAAATGCATATGGATCGATTTGAATCCGACCTAATACTCATATAGATCATACATTTGAAGCAGATTAACCAATAGATGTATCCATTGCCATGTCTAACTTTCAGCTACTAAATAGTAATATTGCGGAAATCCATCAACTATCCAACCCGTTTATCCACCAACCTAATTCACATGGGTCAAAGTGTTCAGAGTTGGATGGATTGTAAGTGGGTTGGGTTCAGTTTAGTTGATGGTTACCATCTGTCTATTCGGTTCTTTTGTGACCTTATTCCCATTGTGCTGGTTTTGACCTTTCCAGAAATACAGGATCTCCAAATTTATCCCAGAAACACCCAATAGTAAGATTATTTGTACCATTGAAACTTGCACAATTTCCCTCCCTGGTTTTGCTTTAATCATGAAGACACTCATATCGTGTCTACTTAACCATGTCAGGAGGGATGGAGAGAAGGAACATTTCGGAGATGCTGCCCAATTTCAGTGCCACCTCGTAAGTAGCATTCCGAAGGTAGCTGGTCGTAAGTTTTCTTCTCAAGAAGCCGCTAACGAACAAACGAAATCTCTCCTGTGTTGTGCTGTCATTTAGAGGAGCTCAACTGAACGAAGCACTGCAAATGCAGGTGGAAGTGGAGAGGAGGCTGAGCGACCATCTTGAGGTTCAGAGAAGTCTAAAGCTGAAGATCGAAGCTCAGGGGAGGTTCCCGGAGAGGATGGTGGAGGAGCACAGGAACAGAGCTGCTTTCTCCAAGCCTAGGCCCTTCCCTACCATGTCCTTGCCATCTCTCTGCGACGAGTCCGAGTCCAACACCAAGGAAGACGAGTCGGACTCGGAAGGAGACCGCCTGGAAGTTCAGTCGGCACAGGATTTCAGGCTTATGAAGAGACTCAGAATGGAGAACGACATTCTGCCGCTGCGGTACAAGATCTCTTCTTCAGTGGCTGCTGCGGCAGTACTGGATCCCTACTCGGCGGCTGTTCAGAACATGATGATGTTTCAGAAAGATGCCAAGTTCTCGTACTCAACTCAAGGGATCAACTTTGCCTGGAACAACATGGCCCGCCCCACCCCCCTGCTACCTAGCTTTTTCTGAAACACAGTTGAGGACTAACGCATTATTTGGATTGTTTCTTTTTTTATTTTTCGTAAACAATACATGAAGTAGGCTGTTTTGGGACGATCGAATAAGGGAGAAAGAAAACTAAAAAAAAATAAAAATCCATTTTCGCCCCATTATAATATCATCTATTTTATTTATCTTGGATGTCTAGCAATAAGCATCCTAATATGATGCATATATTTTTCCTTCTTTTTACCCGAAAAGGTTGATGTATTGTGGTAAGTGGTGACTCTATATATGTATCAATGTGATAATGTTAAAACCTTGAAAAACACAATGTCTAATTTTCATTTTCTATTCTTATAATTAATAAAATTAAGGAAAAATCCCAGAATACGTTAGTTATTAAAAATACCCGTTGTTAGTTTGCAGTTTGGCAAAATATGGACGAAGAGGCTCTGTGAGTACGTACTTTCTTTTTCTCTCGTGATTTTTTTTAATGGGTACGAAATAATCTGATTTCATTCAAAAAATTTTATAGATGGGTGCCGAGATATACGACCCTCGATTGTATATCCATCATGGCCCAAGGGATACGAGGTATTTAACTGAGCAAGAAACACATCGCTCGCCAGCGATTTGGCACAACGATCCGGTATACACTTCGTAGCGTATACATTTGTAAATTATTCACTATTTTAAAAGTTTATTTTTTCTTTTCCTTTGACTAACAACTTCGTATTTTTTTTTTGTAGGAATCACTCATTCCCGTCGGTCATCGAGGGACAACAAGATTGCCCGCTTGGTATGATCGACTCTCGCCTTATCTAGAGAGGACGGGATTGGACATGCGGAGGCACTTTATGCGGATTGATATCGACAACGATTTGCTGACGACAATGGCAGAGCGATGGAGGCCCCAAACACACACCTTCCACTTTGCCGAGGGGGAGTGACGATCACCCTCAAAGATGATGCCATCCTCACCGGGTTGCCGGTCACTGGAGATGCCACCCTCGGCCGCTCGGGAAAACCCAAACAAGGGTGGGGGCTGCTGATTCTTGAGGGTCTAGGGTTCAACATGCCGACCCAAACTTATATTCAAGGACATGGACATCCACTGCTGAATGCAGGGGCAAGTATCGACTCTGTGGCTCGTTGCGGCCATCAAGAATCAGGGAGCTATAGGTTTGGACACACCCGAAGATCAAGTGGAGCGGTATGCACGCGTCTACTTCATTGGATTGGTTGGTGGATTTCTGTTCCCCGACAAAGCAAACCAGTGGATTCAAGGCATGTGGTTGTCGTTGCTCCTAGGTGACTAGGACGAGATCGGGAGAAAGAGTTGGGTGTCGGCCGTGTTAGCTGTGGCCTACCGGGAGCTGTGTACTTGCTCGAGGTTGGGAGCGAAACAAGCTGGTGGTGTGATTTTCATCCTCTAGCTCTGGGCATGAGAGCATCTTTTGATGTTCGCACCTCGAGACCCGCGGGAATTCAGGTTGCCAAATGAGGAGCTACAAGGTGTAGCAAATCCCCCCTATGGTTTTAAGTAAGTTTAATTTAGATTTATTCCAAATATGCAATTTAATTTAGATTAACATTTATTCCAAGTATGAAATTTAATTTAGATTTAGATTAATTCCAAGTATGGATGTGAACTCAATTTAGAGTTATTCCAATAGCAATTTATTTAATTTAGATAAGTATGATTTAGATTTATTTCAAGTATGCAATTCTAATTTAATTTTAAATTGATTATTGATTAAGTAAATGTTTAGGAAACTCTCACATGCTTAGCATCTATGCTTTAAAAAGTTATTAGATGTGTACTTTTGCTTACAAGGTGGATCAGAGCAAATACAAACGACCACCAGTCCGAGCACTCTTTACCGTTTTATCGTGCTGAGTTTGATAAGCCTTGGTGGAACCAGGTAAATATGTCTTTTGAATATTTTAAATTTTTAATACGAAGTGGATATGGTTGGTACTAATTGCACGTTATTAAAGAGTGTAGGTCGCGTGGTACCCATATCCAAATGAGGCGATCGAGCTGCATCGTCTTAGACACCCCGAGGATCGCGAGACGTGGTTGTGCAAGGTGACCCTGATCTGTTGGCACGTTGTGGAGTGGCACCTGCCGGATCGAGCCTTGAGGCAATATCGATTGGAGCAACTAATTCCAGCATCCCCGCCTCAAGGGTTCAAGGAGCTCCATGCCATCGACCTACGTCATAAATCATAGGATTGGATCCGCAAGCATGAGTTCTACATCAACATTTGGGAGAATAGAGCGACTTTGGTGGTCCAAGGGATGCCAGAGACGAGGCCAATGGGGTACCACGATGGGTACATACAGTGGTATCGGAGATTCACGCTCAGATGGGTGTCAAAGTAAGGGGTTGTGTGGGGTTCGTTGGTAAGTGATATTAATTCTGCCTCTTTGTCTTATTCTTTTTTAGTTAGATTAGATTGATTTTTTTAACATGATTAGCTTTATTTAATTTCATTTTACAATTTCAAATTATTAGGTTGACAGTTTGGAACATGCCAAGCACACCGTCGATAGTGTAACGACCATGGACGAGCGGAAGACATCTTTTCTACGAAGGCTTTTCAACACCTTCTCTCTAGTACACGAGAGCAAAGGAGAGATGTTATAGCATACCCTCCACTGCCTGCTCCGGCCCGACCTTCCTTCCGTGATAATGAGCGCATTGTGCCCACACCTGAGGAATCATGGAGGAGGAAAAGAAGGCCACCACCAAACATTGAAGAGATTCATCCGAGTCAGCAAACATTCTTCTGGAACCATGGCCACATTGCGAGTGGTCAACTACAACTGAGGGCGCTGGAGGGTAGTCAAGCTATGCCCCGTCTCAAGAACATGACATGTTTCTCCAAGGGTTCCCTCAATTCCACCATCAGCAATAGGGTTCCTTCAATTCCTCAATGCCTCCAAAACGTGTTTTACCCGGCCTCCCTTTGCATTTTACCCGGTTGGGTATTTCAGCTCCTGACTGGGTATTTTCGTCTGATCACTCCTCTGGTTCTAGCCTTCCAATTTTTGACCCGAAACTCGTTCCCACGCCTCCATATCCACGCCAAGTCCTGAAATATAACATAAACGAACAACCTAGCGTGAAATCGGCCTAAAACGCGAGAATCGACTCTCAAACGGTTCAAGAAATGGTGGTCAAAACATGTACAAATAATGGTCTATCAAATGCCCCCACACTTAATCGTTTGCTTGTTCCCAAGCAAACCTGACTCAAACCAATGCAACTCTCTAGACCTCTATAGCAACACACAACCTCGATCGTCGGTAGAGGATTTCCTAGATCATTTAGCAGCTTGCGAGGTCAACTGGTCTTCTAAGACGTCCCCTATCTCTCTCAATGATAGTTCTAGACTCAAACCAGGATCATGAGAAGCAGTGTAACTAAGACAACATATTCATGGATAAAGGGACTCGAACAATTCAACAACCAAGGACTCATTGTATCGGGATGCTATTTCACTTCATTTCAATCGTTGGAACCCCTTTTCGCACTATCATTTTACATTTCTTTTGTGTTTCATTCACTTTGCGGGGTTTCCAACTGTAGTTTTTGTACGATCGACCCTTATTGGTTGAGCAAGAGCAATTTCTGTACATCTGTCATTCGCCAGAGTACTTCCTTTAAATCCTTTTCCTCAACTCGTGTGGAGAGTCAATGAAATTAAGGGGGTCGGAAGCTCTATCCGTGCCCTTAAAAACACATCCTCGAGTAGGCAAACCGTTCAACGGGTGAAAATTCTACTTATACTAGAGACGGCTTAGCTTCACCTTCTAGGAATACCCCACCAAGGATCACTAAAATCTCTTCCAAAACCCGATTTTGTGCAATGAACGGTGCCACACACGTTGGGCTTACCCCATGTTTAAGATTTCAATTTTTCTTACATTGAGGACCAACTGCTTTTTCATTTCACACATGAGCACCCTTTTTCGATACACGAGTCCACAATACAAGTGGAGTCACCAATACCACACGAATCAACGATCCTAAATCCACTAGTTCACAAAATCAACTGGCACAACGGAGAGATAGATAGGAAAAATCTTATACTTCAACATCCTCCATAGTGCTACAACTACCTCCCTAGGTTGCATATCACCATAAAGACTGTCAATTCAAAGCATACTGAGCAGGTTATTGTAGGGAACAGTACTTGGAGCCCTCAATTTAAAAATTTGGACAGTGGACTAGGCTCCAAGCACACAAACAGAGCTAAACAGTCAAATAGAAACATCCCCCCCCCCCCACACTTAAGTTCAACATTGCCCTCAATGGAGAAGAGGGAAAGATAAGGGGCACGATGTTACCGGTAAGAATAGACTGCAGCTAGGCTGCAAAGTGGACCAGTCGGAGTGAGAAGGACTGAAAATGGGACCAGTCGTCACAATGGCACGGGCTAGAGAAAACACAATAACTCATCCACAAACATGTTAGGTAGAGTTGTCAGCCCAATAGTACATCATCCAAAGAAAATCAAACCAAACCAAACACAAAATCCAGTTTGCACTCTGACTCAAACAAAACAAACATGAAAGGGCCAGCGAGTACAACCTACTCGAGCTGGCTGAAGTCAATATGCTGCGTAAGGTTGTCGACTCCGTCCCGTGGTGGCGGCGGCGAGTGGGCCCACGGAGTGGTCCAGTGGTGCTCATACGGGGGGTGACAGGAATGGAGCAAATGCTCCTGGTACTCCATCATGCGGCGGAATTGCTTGGTGAAGAAGTCCATCGACGGACCAGAAGGACCGGAGGAGGACTGACCTCTCTCTGGTCTCCATCGAGGAAGGAGGTCCCCGGGAGGGGAGAGTGGGGGCTCCGGCTCATCGGCATCCATCGCGCCCCCATCATCATCATCATCAGCATCCTTATCATCACCGGTGTCATCTGTGCTAGTGCAGTCCTCATCCTCCTCATCACCCTCCTCATCTGCCTCCTCCTCGTCCGGTGGCATGGATAAACCATCAACCCACTCCCGCCCCTCAGCAGAAGCTAACAGTAGGGCATTGCGGATGATCTCCCTGCTGAGGGGTGCGGAGCCGCCGTACTCCGTAGCATCTGTCAATCCCGCCAAGTCGATCTTGAAGTGGCGTGCCAGCTTCGTGATCAGGGAACCACAGAAGAAGTATGTGGGTTTGTTGTGGCACCGAACAAAGGTGGTGGCCACAACAGACCCCAGGTGCAGCAGGTGGTCAGGGTCCCCCATGGAGTACATCGCGTAGACCACCCGTTTCGCATCTTGGTAGAAACCATCGTGGGGGATGATCGAGTGAGCAGGAGGTTGATG